ATACATGGATCAAAAAATTCTATTTTCCAGGTGCGGTTTGACGACCTACAATAAAATAAATATATATGTTTTAAATTATTAAAAAAAAAAAGGTTGTAGATAAGAACTGCTCAACTTATAATAGTAGAAAGCTTTGCAAAAATTATTAAACCGTAAAAACGAGCTAAGAGGCGGACGGGTCGCCCAACCTGACTCCGACCGGAGCCGTGGATTGAGCCGGCTGGCCCACCATTTTATTTATAAAGAAAAACTAAATTCTAAATAATAATAAAGTTTCACGACAAAAGGTAACATTTATAATTTTCTTTGTATTTAATATTTTAGACTCCAAAATAAACCAATGGCCAAATAAACAAATGGCCCTCGGTGTGCTCATCAGCCGCCGTGTCAGGGCTCGACTCTCCGTGTCTGGGCTCGCCTCACCGTCGAGAAGTGGTCAGCCTTCAAGGTTTATCGCCGTCGACAGAACTTGTGAGAGACGACGACTGGGGTTAGGGATTTTGGCCATATGTTTTATTCAAATTGGGCCTAAGTGTTGGGTTGGGTGGGGTACTTGCCTCGTACAACTTTTATTTTTTTTAAAGCGGATCAGCCCGCGACATTTGATGTCTAAAAATCGACACCGACCAAAATAACTAGAAATTATGAACATATAATTGAAAACGACCGATTTTCAGATATAAACCGACTCTAAATTTTAGTTAAGACTAAATTTGTGCAACTAAAATTGAAAATTGAAAATTTAAATAAAATATAATATTTTTTTCTCAAAATAATATTTATTTAACACTTCATACCATTTTAATTATAATACAGAATACGACTAAGAAAAATATCGACAAATTTAAGTAAGTTTAAATAAAAAAGAAAAAGAAAAATAAGATATTTGCGGGTCGGCCTGGCCCTGGCCCGCCGAACCAAAGGCCCAGAACCGGTCAGGTCAAACTGGGCCTGTTGACGACGGGCCGGTTCTGGGCCAATTCAGTCAGTTCGAGTTGAACAGGCGAGCTGGTCCGGTCTTTAATTTCAAACTGTGGAATCGAATTTAAAAAATAAAAAATAAAAAAAATCTAGCAGTTGGATCTCCAACGAGTCAAAAGCTTTTAACGACCCAGATTAGCGGGTTGCCAACAGTCCAATACCAGGTCACGGCCCAGCTTGACCCGGTCAATAAATTAAAAAAAAAAAAAAAAAAAAATATGGCGGGCCGTCTCGAGGGTCGGCCTGGACCCGGCCCACCTGGTGAAAATTTTTTACACATGAGGCCAGAATTGTCTCGGTCAATCTACGGGCTCAGTTATGGGCCGGGTGACCACGGGAAGATTCAGGGCCGATTCAATCGATTCGGGTCGAATTGGCGGGCGGGGCCATCCCAGCGTCGTGACTAGCATGATGAACCCGTAAGATATAAACAGGAACGTGCATACAAAAACCTCTACTTTGATTCGCTAAAAAGTGAGGTTCATTTTATTGGATCAATAGTTTAAGTGAGATTCATTCACAACTATCATAATTACCAATAGACTAGTAAGATATTAATTATATTTCAAAACTAAATCTTGACCATTGTATCTCAACGGTCAAAACGATCTAACAGTCATATTTGAAATTTGATGGTTGATTAACTGTTGTGGAACCGGCGGGCCGGGTCGAAAGTGAACCCAGACCCAGACCGTGAAACCGAATTTAGAAAAAATAAATAAAATAATCTTATTGTTCGATCTCCAACAATCAGATTTGAAAATTTGACCTGATCCAACAGTCAGATTTAAAAATTTAACCGTTGGTCACCCGTTGTGAAACCGACGAGTCGGGTAGAAACTGAACCCAAACCTGGACCGTGGAATCAAATTTAAAAAGTAAAATATAAAAAAGCTAGCAGTTGGATCTCCAACAGTCAAAAACTTTCAACAATTCAGATTAGCCGATTGCCAACGGTCTATATCAGGCCACGGGTCGGCTTGACTCGGTCAACAGATTAAAAAAAAAAAGGGGAAATATGGCGAGCCGTCTCGAGGACCAGCCTAGACCCCGCCCACTGACTCAAATTTTTTTATACATGAGGCCCAGAACCGCCTAGTCAAACTACGAGCTCGGATCTGAACCTGTTGACCATGGGTCGGTTCGGGTCAAACCGGCGGACCTGGACGGGCCGGCCCATGGCTATGACTAGTACTCTAAACCCGTAAGATGTAAACATGAACGTGCATACAATATATCTACTTTGATTCACTAAAAAATATGCACCTCTACTTTGATTCACTAAAAAATGAGATCATTTCTATTGGACTAATAGTCTAAGTGAGATCAATTCACAACTATGAGAATTATTTGTCAACTAATAAAAAATTACGATTCTATTAAAAAAATATTTTGTCATTATTAAATATGATTACAATTTTATTATTAAAATTATATTAAAAATAAGTGTATATTATAAAATAACAATTCTATATCCTTTTAAAGAAATAAGTGTACATTATAAAATAACAGTTCTATATCCTTTTAAAGATTTGGTGCATGGGTTGATGTTAGGTTGATTATTGTAAGATATGTGGGAAAGTAGTTTGGGTGATATGTGGAAAAAAATCAAATTATTGAAGAAGCTTTCACGTTGGACGTTTTTTGGTACATTAAGCTTTCTTAAAGAAGTTTGTCGTTGTCCTAAGCTTTCTTCTGGGATGTTTGTTTGGATTCAAGGCTTAACAATCAGACGTTCCATAGGGACTTAAGCTTCCTTCTGGAACGTTTATTTGACTTTCAAGCTTAGCTCAAAGACGTTTGTTTTTACAATGGAACTTCCATGTTGGACGTTTTCTTGGCTACCAAGCATAGCTTCTGGACTTTTGCTTTCATAGGCAAGTTTCAATAAAGAACGTTTGGTATGCTTTAAACCTTAACTCTTGGACGTTTCACATGGCCTCAAGCTTTTCAGTTAGATGTTTACTTGACTTTCAAGCTTAGCTTCTGGACGTTTGCTTTCACGGTGGAGTTTTCATAGGCAAGCTTTGATAAAGGACGTTTGGTATGCTTTAAAGCTTAACTCTTGGACATTTTACATGGCCTCAAACTTTCCAGTTCGATGTTTAGCAGCAGAATAAGCTTGCAATTTATAAGTTTTAAATGTGTTGCCCCTTCTCATTTAGACGTTTCTCTTCAGAGTCGGGCTTCGCATTTGGACGTTTCCTTTGCTTCCAAGCTTAGCTCTTGGACGTTTATTTTTACAGTCGGGCTTCTTTGCTGGACGTTTCTTTGGCTACCAAGCTTAGCTTCTAGACGTTTCTTTGGCTTCCGAGCTTAGTTGATAGACGTTTGAATGCATTTTTTTCAGTAATTTTTTCTTACCATAGGGATATTTTTATAAATTTATCATTTTTAATTATTATTTTTTGGGCGACAAGTAGTAATTTGGGGCGACAAATAGCAATCCTAATATTTTATTGTGTTGTTGGAAGATTGATAAGATTCATCATCAATTCATGATCACATGAACAAAGAAAGGAAAAACTTGCGGTTGTATTGAATGAATGAAAATGGACGGAGACATTTAGGTGTTACATTGTGTGTGTATATATTGAGCAAACGTAACTAAAGGTGTTATCCACTAAATGACAACTTTGCTTAAAGTAAATTACAACTTTAATGTAAAATGGTAAAATACAACTTTAATGTAAAATACAACTCCTAATACCCCTCGCAAGAGGAGTATGTATTTTTAGCGTGCTCATCTTGGATAAGAGGTGCTGAAATGTAGGTCTTAGGAATACTTTAGTTAGAAAATCTGCCAATTAATCCTTTGTTGGAATGTGATGAAATTGTAGTAGGCCTTTGCTGATTTTCTTTAATCAGATGACAATCCAATTCAATGTGTTTGATTCTCTCATGAATGACAGGGTTAGAAGCCATAGCTAGGACATATTTACTATCTATAAGTAAACAAATATGAGGAGTAAGTGATATACAAAGCTCATTACTCAAGTGAGTAAGCCATTAAATTTCACAAGTGGTAGATGCCAGTGCTCTATATTCAACCTCAACTGATAACCTACTTAATGTTGGTTGTTTATTTGATTTCCATGATATAAGAGAGTTACCAAGAAATACTAAATAGTGAGTTACACTTTTTTTTAGTATCAACACAAGATGCTCTGTCACTATCTGAGTAAACATTAAGATGTAAACTTGAGTTTCTATAAAAGACAATACCTTGGCCAACAGTTCCTTTTACATACCTCGGAATTTTTTGTGCAACATTCATGTTTGATATGTTGGTGCTGACATAACTAAGAATATGAATTGAAAAGGCAATGCCTTGTCTGCTAATTGTAAGATAAAGTAACCTACCCACTAACGTTCTATATGTAGATGGAACAGAAAGTAGATTTTGATGTAGAAGATGATTTACTAGTTATTTTTAAAGTGAGATCCATGGTAGTAGAAGCAAGCTTGCATCCCAACATACAAGAGTCATTAAGAATGTCTAATGCATATTCTCTTTAGCACATATGGATTCCATTTTTAGAGTGAGCAAATTCTAGTCCTAGTACGTATTTCAGTTGTCCTAGATCTTTTTGTTGATGTACAAAATTCGCACAACGGTTTAGGGAAATCCCCTAAAAGAAAGATAATTCAAATACTAAATGAGGTCGGATAGTCGTGGTATTGAGGTCGGAAGACCGTAGTTTCATATAATAAACAACTCGAACGCTTTTTTATAGTTGGGATTTACTTTTGAGAAATAGAATTTCAAATTCCCCCCTAGGTACAATAAATGAGGGGTATTTATAATGCAAGACCCATGGACACTGTCATGATGTCAGTACATCAGCATTGATCACTTTCGACAATACGATGGATATACGTCTTGTGTAAGAGGTAATTGGATATCCATGGACATTCCATATCCTACTAGGAAACTGGGTATCTTCGAGATCTCTTTCTATCTAAGAGGTAACTTGAAGAAGGAAAAAAATACAGTATAAAAGGAGGGTTTCAAGTTGGTTATATTTTACATGCAATACAATTCCAAAATAATAATTTGAGGACATCACCCTTAACTTTTCGTCAGAAACCTTTCCGACGTGTTTTGCACGTCAACAAGGAGCAAGTTGTGAATAAACGTATCCGTATGAGTATGGATACCGAGTGCATGATTGAAACTAGAGAATCAAGTATAAATATTTCAATGTGTTTCACTTGAACAAGTAAATTCTACAGATCTCAAACGTTAAATAGAAAAACAATGTATAATGTTCAAGATTCACGTCCTCACAAATAATAGTTGGCCTCAGAGAGGATTTAGTACTGATCCCTTTCCACATAATATGTATTGTGAAGTAAGGATGACTCTTATTATCAAACATTCTCGTCAAACCTTGTATACAAGTCACAGTTTCGAATTATGATCACTTTTAGATAACTGCTGTCTCAAAACCCTTCTCATGACTTTATTTGTGGCAGTCCTTGGAAGATGAGGAAGGGGAACCACATCAGCCACCTGCCAGATTCAGCAAATATCAAGGAAAATTCTTCTAATTATTTTTTTATTTGTGACTTTATTTTCAGTAATTTCATTCTTGCATAGTGATCTGTACTTTTCTGGAAATTCTTTTCATTATTTTTTATTCAGAAAGTTTTATTAGGGAACCCGTCTGCCAAAAAAGCTCAAGCTCAAATATATATACCTTGAAAAGAGGATTTAATTTTTTCTGAAGGGCTGAATTGAAAGATGCAACCAGATCACTCAAGTCCAATGACTGCTGGTCAGTAGTATCCTTGAACACAACAGCAACTACTAACCGCTGGGGCCCACCGCCAGGTGGCGACATCCCAACTGCCGCAGTCTCCAGAACACCAGCCACTGCCGAATTACACACACGCTCGATCTCAACCGAGCTTACCTGAACAGATAACCAAAAGGCGTATAAATGTTTTTTTTTCCTTAAAGTTCTAAGGCTAATGTCCAATATATGCTTAAAAGAAAATGGCACACTGCACATGAATATGTTTTTATCATGAGGATCTCTTTTATTGTATAATAACTTGAACAGACCTTTATACCCCCAAGATTCATAGTATCATCAGCTCGGCCATGCGCACGGTAATAACCTCGCGATGTGCGCTCAAAGACATCGCCATGTCTTCTAAGTACCTGTTTCGAAATGAAAACATAATAATAACATGGGAGAAAATAAAAGGAAAAAGGAATAAAGGACTTCAGTAGTGAGAATTAGTGACTAAGTAGAAAAAAAAAGTGATCACTCACTTTTCCATTCCAAATTGGCATTTGCTTGAAGTAGATGTCATAGTGGTCAGCATTCAGTAGAGTGCTTGAAGCACCAAACATGAGTGGACCAAGGGCTAGTTCACCAATTCCAGGATGGTCTCGAGGCTTCACGTAGAAATATATAAGAATTATGGAGTTGATATCCGATTTAAAAAGGGTTAAAATCATTTAACGTGATTGGCTATGATTTAATCCTTATTTTTGTTGATTCATATAACTATGGGGACCGAACAATAAATATTGAAACTTCTCCAGCAAGAATACAATTTGCTTACTGAACTAACCTACTCCATCGGTTTCGTATTTAAATATCGTTATAGTGTTTCTGCCTAGAATTAATGAACATAAAAATTTGACTAATGCAACCATAATCAATTAACAATATTCTCAATTAATATTTCCTTTTGTTTCATTACTATTACCACAATTTTGTTTTGATTCATAAAATAAGTGTGAATACAGTTGAAAACAGTGGTAAAAATACTTGCAACGGCATTTAATTTGATAAAAATGAAAATCTAAAACAACAAATATTATGAAACAGAAACACTAGGGAACAAATACAAATCGTGATAAGAAAAAAGAAGGGTAGCCTTATTTCTCCTTTGTTTCCTATCCAACATTACCATCTTATCTTATTTAGTGCAGTCAAGTTTTTTCCAGTCTGTTCCTAAAACTAGGGGAAACCCAAGCCTATATATTGTATTTCTCATTTACAAAATATCAATTTACATAATGCTAATAGCATCCTCAAAACAACATGATTAATGTTCATCGTGTCAAGACCAAGGTTTCAAGTGGACTTACAATAGGAAATCCATCATCCCCAATAATAAACAGACTGCAACCCACTGCAGGTGTGCTAAAGGCTGATAGAGATTGATTTTGCAATAATGAACCAGTAACAAATCCACCACCAATTTCAGTGCCACCACAATACTCGATAACAGGCTTGTATCCAGCCCTCCCCATTAGCCATAGGTATTCATCAACATTAGAAGCCTCACCAGTGGATGCAAAGCAGCTAAACATTATCAAAATAGCATATTAGGATAGATTTAGGTGTCTCATAAGCTCTTACATCTTATAAGTCGATTATATGTTATATTAAGAGTTGTTTAGCGTCTAAATGAAAAAAGATTAAAATGTTAGCAATACCATTGCTGTAATTAAGATTACAGACCTCAAGGAGGTACTGAAAGGGCCATATATGGCTTGAAGCAAGTGATTAAAAAACGTGTGAGTCACCATGAGGCGACAATACTATTGTTGTTTGCCAAAGCATAAGACGAGACACTCACCCCAATGAAGCAACGTGGGCCAATTTGAAATAATAAAGATTCACGGACAATGAATAACTTACATATAATCTAGGTGAAAATATTCAAAATAAAAAACAAAGCCCCAATTACCATCCAATAGAAGGCTTCTCTGATATTTCCTTGAAAAAGGGGGCGAAAATAGCAGAGAAGCTACTACAGGCAGTAAGCTCCAGCCACACCCAAAACCAAAGACGATGGGTCAAACAACTACCAGAAGTTGAGAAAATGGGAAAAAGAAAGAAAATAACATGAAAAGGAATACATTTACTCTCAGTTAGTCAGTTTTAGGGGCCACTGGTCCGCCTAGCTCGAATAAAGAGAAAACACAAGCCAATTAAGGGTTTGTCGGCGCAATGAAGTGCAATTGAGATCTGTTTTACGAAAAACCCTAAACTGCTGCCCTAAAATGAGGTTAGTGTCACTAATCGTGTTCTCTAATGTTGATAACTCATTGTTTGTGAGAAGAACTCGTAATTTTGTAATTTACATTCTCATATATGTTGATGATATTCTCATAACTGGAAATGATGAAGAACAGGTAGAAAGGGTGAGCATTCGTCTCAAACAATGCTTTTCATTAGAATATTTCGGAGAGCTAAGTCATTTTCTGGTTGTGGAGGTGAATAAAAGTGCGGATGAATTCTTTGTGACTCGGAAACAATATGTGGATGGTTCACTGATCAAAGCTGGAATGGAATGTTCAAAGGGATTGAGAACACCTGTGGTTACTTCACCTCAGTTGAGTAAATTCAATGGAACTGAATTGCAATGATGCTACTCTTTACAGAGGGCATGGAGGATTACAAATTTGACTATCACCAGACCAGACTTATCTTATTGTGTGAACAAGACGACTCAGTACATGTCTAATCCTCTAGATACTCGTTGAAAAGCAATTAAAAGAATTTGAAGACATGTTGCTGGAACTTCTGATCATGGATTGCTCAATTCCAATTCCTCAAGTTTAATTGGCTTTTAAGAAATAAAATAATATTTTTCAGCAATGATTCAACAACTCAGAGTCCTCAGGCTGAACTAAGTACACAGATTTAGTGAACATTTTTCATTCTATCTGCGCAAAAGGAAGGTCTGCCAGGGTAAAACTCATCTCATAACATGAAATTTGCATTCACATATCCCAGCAAAAAAATGTATCATAACAATTAACATGAGCCATTTATAATAACACCCAATCTTCAGAGACCCACACAAAAACAACTAAAAAATTGAAAACAAAAAAAAAAAAAAAAAAAAAAAAAAGATAATCAATAAATGATATGCTTTTGACCAAAATAAGATGCATGTATAACACAATGCATACAAATCCGGATATGCTATCAAATAATTCCAACATACCGGATGGCAGACCAATCATAAGAAGCTGTCGAGTTTGCACTTTTCCACGCCCTTACAATAGAAGGGATCACGCCCAGCATTGTTACTTTAGCATCCTAAAGAGTACCATTTGGGTTTAAGAAAAATGAAGGTACAAAAACCATTGTAGACCTTAATGATGTAATTTGATGTGCCTGAAAAAGATTATATGCATCACAAATCCATTAACTACTGCAGAAGATCTTCCTCCGCTCTCTCTTTGAACTAGTGTTTAGAAATATATAATCAGAACTCCTTATAATTTATCATGAGTGAATTCAAATCTACGTGTTCAAGGTCTATATAGTCATTCAGATGAATATGATATCTACATATAATTATCACGGATGGATATGTGCCCCCATGGTTTATCCATACTCATGATACAAGGTTCATCCATATTCAAGGTTTTCTGTAACAGATCTAGAAAGATATACACCACGTGAATTGGGATACTTCATGATACAAAAATTTATGCCATGAATTATCAATTATAGTTCCTGATATGCACCCAACTCAAAAAACCCAACCCTCCAACAAACATAATATCAAGGCTCCCTGAGGAACATCACAAGAACTAGTTCAAGAAAAACGTGAATCGCTACAGAAATATTCCTGGGCACATTTAGATACACATGAACAGCAGAAATAGCTAACTTCATTGTACATAATGCAGTTAAGATTAAAACAAGGATAGAGATGAGTCGCGAAAGTGTACACCACCTGAACAAACCTAGCAAAGCCAGAACCAAGGGGAGATCCATTGTACAGAGCTATTGAAGCACCATTTAACAATGAAGCATAAACAAGCCAAGGGCCCATCATCCACCCAAGATTTGTTGGCCAACATATTACATCACCTTTGCGAATGTCCATGTGACACCAACCATCAGCAGCAGCTTTAAAAGGTGTAGATGCAGTCCATGGGATTGCCTTTGGTTCCCCTAGGGCAAATAAATAAAAGAAAACAAGAAAAGAAAAAGTAATGGTGTAGTTCTCTTGCGTTTAATCAATTCTACGATTGTTACACTGAACGAGGCTCCAGTTGATCGATTATTATCTAGAGCCAATCCAACAATTATCTAACTGTTAAAATTTAGCATATTCTTACACTTCAGTGTTCAATTTAGAGTTAATTACAGCCACCTATGATGTTTTTTCCAACCAGTTACAATGTCTTGAAATTATAACTAGGACCAACACACTTCACAGAAACTAATATAGAATGTGATAAATGTCAGTGAGTGACATCATCACTTTGAATATTAAAAGAAACAAAATATTTTGACACAAAAAACATCTAAAACCCTGAGGGGCTGGCTATGTTATCACCGCTGGAAAAGGGTATTTCTACACTTTGGCATTAATGGTGTAATCACCAAACAAAAAAACAAAAAAAAAACACCCAGAAGATACTCTACCCTCAACCCGTCTCCTTACCAGACTACCTTGCTCTCGTTTTGCATCTCGTCACCATCACGTGAAACCGTGAATGGGAAGCCGTTATGCTTATCTGAAAAATGATTGGGTAGAGAAGTGGGCCTCAGAAGAGGTTGTTAAGGGCATTGGCAGTCACATTTTATTTATATTGACGACGGAAGCACTGTAATATGCTAGAACCTTCTTTTCTTTTTTTCATCTGCCTAGTCCAGCCAAGTAACAGACAGATTGGGTGCTGGGCAACGATTTTAAGTGTTATGAACCTTAGTGTTTTGGATGATTGATGCATTCACTAATGAAGATGCACATATATATAGACTTAGGGCCTTTATTATATATGGGTTGGGCCTATAATATGCTTAACACCCCCCTTCAGAGGATCTGAAACATTGAGTTTGAGCAAGTGAAGCCGATGTTGTTCTCGAGTTTGTGCTTTAGTGAAAAAATGTGTCACTTGCATAGACACCAATGTGTCTATGCACATGCTGAAGAACAATCGTTTCCTGATAACAATGAGACCGGGTAAAGGAAACATAGACACCAATGTGTTTTGTAAGCTCATGGTTCACAGGACTATTGGCTATTTGTATAACTCAACTATTATCACAAAGAAGAGGTGTGGGAGCATCGCATGAAATGCCAAAATCAGCGACCTGCTTCTTGAACTCCCATGCAAGAGGAGAAGAACCAAGAAAAATGTAATAACTCTGTTAGATTACTCGCCCAAGTAGAGTCTGAGTAAGAGCATGAAGCTGAAGCGGACTATCACGAGCATAAAACAAGCACTGAGATAATGTGTACCGTAAAACACGAAGCAAATGTCCAAAATGACTGAAATAGGTGCACTCACAAACTGACTCAATATATAAACAACATGAGCAATGAAAATTATAGTGGTTGGAGGGAAAATAAGGGAACAAGAAGTCATAAGCTTTTACTAGACTCGTAATTCACAAATAGCACTTGATAAATAAGATTGAAAACCTATATAATAATATTAGAAGCAGAAATGAAATAAATTTAAAGACAACAAAGTTATAGTGGTTGGAGGGGAAAAAAAGGGAACAAGGAAAGTACAAATGAGAGAAAGGAAAGGGAGCATCGTTAGATAAACAGCAGAAAGGAGAAAAAGTAAAAGAAAAAGATAAAGATAAATATAAAGAGAGTAAATAAAATATGGGATATAGTCGACGAAAACAGCATAAAGGGCGAAGAAAACTCTGAAACATAACNNNAAAGGAACCGCAGCAAAGGCAACGAAATGGTGGTTGGAGGAGGTCGTAACAAGTATGCATCAGCTAGTGGTCCATCTAATTTCAAAGTAAAGGTGTGAATTTGTAAGAGTTTGGTGTAAAGTTATGAACAAAGCACACAAACCCAAAAACAGGAGGAGGAATGAAAGGAGTGGCTTGTCACATGGATACTCTAGGCATTCTATTATTGAGATAACAAGCAGTCAGAAGCACATCCCCACAAAGGTATTTTGGTATATGCATGTGGGACATCAAAGTGCGGCTAGTAAATAGGGTCCAAAATATGACGATGTTTGCGTACAGCCACCTCACTTTGTTGGCAAGTATAAACGCACAACGTTTGACGAATTACACCAAGTGACTCACAGAAAGTAGAAATATTTCTTTAAGTAAACTCAAGGGTATTATGGGTAAGAAAAATACGCAAATTTGAGGAAAGTTGAGTCTTTATTTCATTATGAAAAGATTGAGTACATGAGGAACTTGGCTCCTATCCTTGAGTAAATAGCCGTCATTCTAGAATAATCATCATGGATAAGGAAATAGAAAAGTCCCCCACGAAACTAAGTTTGACGAGGACCTTAACAATGACCAAGATCAAAAGGAAACGCGCTGCGATCACTTACTTTAGAAGAAAAAGAGGCGTGGTGGTGTTTGCCTAACCAGTGTTTTGCCACCCCAGCTTGTTTTAGACTAAAATGCTGATGAACTTTGTCTTACTGTTTATTCTCCTTGGTGGTTTATAATTTTTTTTTTTTGGGTTGTGGACTCATGTTCTATTGTCGTCATTTGTTACTGCTACATGCTATTGACTTGTGTAGTTGTGTGATTGGGTTATTTGAAGATGATTCTGCAATCTGCAGAACAAGACAATCAAGATACTAGACATACCTGTTGTTCCTGATGAGAAAAGAATATTTGTGAATGCCTCAGCTGTTTGTTCAACAGCGACAAACTCAATTTCTCTGCAAGTGGACATTTTTTAGCATGAGAAAGTAAAGCAGGCAGATACTATACAATAGAATCCACACTTTGCCTTGATGCACGTGTCAAAATGATATATTACATGTCTAAATTCATTTGTGTCAAGATTATATCTCGATCCTCCACTATGATGTCAGAAAGCATGTGAACTCCACAAAAGAATAAAAATTGACCCAAAAATAGCAGTGAACCATGATTAAAATTATGGTTTCTAATTCACAAGTTATGATTTGCATCTCATTCTAGATCTCTCAAGCTAAAAGCTTCATCTAGCACTATAATCTTAGTCGTATGCAATGCTTAATGGACTTCAGTCGTTCTAAACGTTCATAAAAAAATGGATCCATTTATGAATTCTCTACATCTAAAAGATTGGATACTAAAATACCTTAAGATCAAATTGATAACGCTGCTTACTTGGAATCATTTGCTCTCTCAAGAAAATCCTGCCAAGACATGTCAATATCACGTAACTTCATGCTGAAACTGGGGCCACCGGTGGGAATTACAATCGCCATTGGTGATTGAGCTTCAACAATTCTACTGCAGTAGGCAGAAACAGGTGTGAGGACATACAAATATGAAAGAAAGTAAACAATGAGCAAAGTAGACAGATGGATTTTTAATCCTATATTTCTACTGAGCAATTTCTCTTTTGCAATGCTTCTCATTGAATGAAGTTTATTAACCCTGCCCCTTAAGGTAAAAAATGTGAAATGTCAAAAGAAAATAAAAATGCATGCTCTCGGAATCATGATTGCTTGTATCCTTGTAAACAAAGCAGCCATAGTTTAGACGAAAATCATCTGCAAATGAAATATAAATAACCTTCTTTATCATCGGTTGCAAGCACTATAGATATCATTCGTAACTTGATTGACGAACATTATAAGAGAAGAATTTTACCTAAGCCAATTATATTTATTTTTTTCATCCAATGGCAGATCTATATACAGTCCTACGTCAATAGCACAAACTTTAAGAGAGAAAGACAGATCACCTGTACAACGGAAGTTTTCTGTCACCACGCATGATGAAATCCTGGGAACAAAAAATCAATTTCAGAGGAGATTAGACATAGAAGAGAGGGTCTGAATCAAAGATCCAGCACCCCCAGTTGTTGACAACAAACACATCAAATACATATTTTGCAACTTGATGGCTTCATCAGAAGGGATATGAGCTCCAACATAAATGTTCCTATTGGTGCAGTACACATCAACAATTCTGAAAACAACTACAGCAATCATTTTGTTGTAGTCTCCTTTTCATTACCAACTGTTCTAACTGAGTTGTAGAGAATGATAATACGTTTGAGATTTCTAACCTGAAGTTCATTTACATGTTCACTGGACTGCAATAAGGTTTCAAGCAGCCATCAGATATATGGTACTTAAATTGCATTCAGAGTTCGTGCAGCCATTAGATACATGGTAATGCTTCATTCATATAGAAGTAAAAGAGATTCTCACCTGAGTGAAAATTGCTTTTGCTTTTGATATTTGGAGCCGTGTGGATATTTCTTCGGGGGCAAAACTATCAGCAATAGACACAACTATGTGACCGGCAAGTACTATGGCCAGATAGATAACGACGGAAGTTACATTCATGGGCATATCTATGGCAATTGCAGAGCCTTTTTCCAACGCCAGAGTTTCAATTGCATGAGAAACAAGCCTACAAAACAATCCTAGAGAGAGTTGAAAATCATCTCGTAGTTAAGTTATCAAGCTCATGGGAAATAATAGCAACACAGGGACATAGTGGTAAATTGAGGAGAACGTTCCACAAAGAACATAGGAGAGAATCAAGTTGAAACAGGAATAAGGTAAACCATATGCAATGAAATCTTGAAATAAAAGAGTGACTTCAATTCAGCTGATTCGCAAGCTGGAGCAAAAAGAAGTTAACTGGAGGCATTGGATTATTGTGTTTGGCAACATAATCTAGCTTATAGCTTATGTATTTAGTGAGCTTATGAGCTTAATGTATTCAAATAAACCTCATTTCGTAGGATAAGTTTTTTAAAAAACACTGGAGCTTATTTCAAATGCTTATCGAGGCAGCGTTTCAAAAAATCCATTGAAATTTTTGTTTCAACTAATTTTACCAAACACTTCTACTAAATCAACTAGCTTTTCAGTCACCATAATCAACTATCAGCTCGAAATGAACTTGTGAGCTACGTCTTATGTAATCTAGCTTTTTAAGCAATAGATATACCAAACGTACCCCATAACTTTGCTCCAATTAACGCTGAGGGATAATCATAAAAACTAACCTTAGGGTTCAACCTAATTACAACAAAATAAAATTCCTAACTCAAGTATCTTTCCAAATCACAAATACCCCTAAGATGCTCTCCTTCTCTCAACAAACAATCCCCCCGTTGCGCATGCAGTCCATACTCCATAAATATAAAGAATAATGACTAATTCTAGTTTTAAAAGATAACTCAAGTCATATATAAGTTCTAGGGTATGTTTTGTAATAACCATATATATGAAACCCATAACCTGTGGACAAAAGTCTAGAAGAGTACCTTTCAAAACTAACAAAAAGTCTTAATGTATTTTCCACATAACAATTAGGGGAAAGGAACCGCAGCTGCCTCTCGTTCACAATATAAATGGACAATGTATACATGTCATAGTCACTATTTTACTACTTTGCAAGGACTCAGAAAAGGCTTTATGAGAAAAATAACGTATGCCATGTTTTAATATTAATTCGCCAACAGAAAGCCATATTCATCACATGTATCAAAAATAGTCACATCCACAAAAAATGCCAATCACTACAATGAAAATGTAGAATACCACACTGTTGTACGAAGCTCTTTAAGGGTCATCTTGTTTACTAGCAACTCATCATCTGCTTCATCACGCCACATTACAGCAGTATCCATGAGATTCCTCTTAGCACCAGTCAAGCAGTTTTTTGCTGGATTGATAGTGACACCTGGAAGCCACTTACCCCCCGGATGACTAGGATCCTCACACAAAATGCGTTCAGGGGGAACAGAAAAGGATACCTTCATTTCCTCAAACAATGTTTTCCAAAAAACCTGGAAATATAAAAACTGTAAAATTAGACAAAGCAAACCTTTGAAGTCCCTTTGAAAATAAAGGACCCGGCCATGATGGTGAACAGTTCATACCAACCTCGGGATTTGATACGGAAAATTCCTGAAAATCGGAGAAGCTTGAAATAGGATCTACATATTTTGTCCCAAGGAGTTGTTTACCACGTTCCTCCAGTAGCTGTCCAACATTAGTCAATTTTGCTCCAGCACTGTGAAAAAGAGCAATTATTGCGAAACAGAAAAACGAAATTGCTTTGCAGGTGTTAAGAGCATTATTGCGAAACACATGGAATTCCCTCATAATTTGGAGACAAAATGATTCAATTATATTTAAAATATTCGAAGGTTTAATGGGGAAAAAAGCTCCTTTATAAAAGACTCCGGAAACATAAAAAGAAGGAAATGACTAATCATAATAACCCTAAATCAGCCATGCAGCCAAAAACCGCACGATTGTGTATCACTCACCACGTTGATCGGAGATCGCCCTTTTTTAATTATCTCAATCAAGACTACTTTTATAATATAGAGCACTTATTGTACATTTTATTATTCATTGGCTAGACATTGTCCCTGACATCCTTTCCAACCCTTAAGCACCTGACAGGGTACTTGTGTTTGGACAGGAGTTACAAATGGTAAGTTCGCTGTAAAATATGCCTACTCTTTCTTCACAAGGTGCCTTGGGAACGATGGATTTGCTCAATCAATATGCCAGACTCTCCAACTTCTGTGAGTATACTACTAATTGACCACCTAAAGAGTGATTGGATATACAACTTTTTTGGAAAAACTTTGTCACGTAAAACAATAGTGATGAGAAAAAATGGGAAACAAAGTTTGGTGGAAGAATGAATATATTTGGAAATTATGAATATATCAGATGAAAACATATTATTATTAAAGCTGATGTTATATAAAAATAGTACTGTAATAATTGGACATGATTGGTAGTTAGAAATATAGGAGTAGATGAATAGTAAACTTTATTAGAAAATGTGTAATAATGATTGATTTTCATTTTAAATTGAGTTGATGTCTTGAGTTTGAGAAGAAAAAAGTGGTAATGTATTAATATAGTATTTCCTGTAAATATGCATGCATACAATTGAAATTTAATTGGAGGAGAATTTGTCCAAAAAAATGGAAGTGGAAATTATTTACACCCAATTGCGCCCTAGCCGTTACCGCTTATCTTCGCTAAAATGGTCACTAATTTGCTACAAATGTCCCTCGGGTTGATATTCTTGACTGCCAGTGAAGGAAACCACCGATCATCTATTCTGAATTTGCCTTCATTCCTGAACTTTTAATGGGATTTCGACTCTTTCGTCTTCCCAAGACATGAGTTATTTCTTTTAACAAGCTACTCCTATGTGCTATGTTTTCCAAATTTAGTGAACAATTAACTTTCTTTTGGAAAGCAACGATCATTTCTGCTACTTAGGCAATTTGGTACGCATGAAAAAACGTGTCTACAATATTGTGATGCCTCTCTTCAAAGAGACGGCTTTGTTCCTTGTTAAAAATCTCATTCTTGTATCAGAGATTCCTGGCAATAGTGGCTATATGAGTAACTCATATTTTATGATTCTTAGGCAGCTTCATGTCCTTTCGAGGTTTCTAAGAGGACTTAGCCTTCTCCCTTTCTTTGAGTTTCACAGCACATCAGCACCCATATATTTAGAGAAGGCTACTTGGCGGTAGGTGGTATCTCTAAACTTAGGTGGCATTTTTAGTTGTCATTCTACACAAACAGGATCTATCAATTTTTCCGAGATTATCAGTAGGGTACAAAGATTTCGAGCTGCTAAGAGGTTTTAGCTACCTCACTGCCTTGTGGTCATTTTATTTTGTTGAGGAATTTAACCAGCTTGTGGTCAGTTTTACTTCGGACTTTTTACATCAAAGGTAATCTGTTTACAAATTATAACCCAAAAGTCAGCTATCTTAAGATAATCTACACTACCACTAGCCATAGCACAAAAACTGAAACTTTTGTTTCATTTTTTCCTAGAAGTTGACTTAGATGATCAGCATTTCCCTATTTCTCAAGCATTACTCCACAAGGAAAAGCAACAAAATTGACAAATATCGACCAGAAAAATTAAGCATCTCAGAGAAAGCCAGTGACACTAGCAGGCAAGTAAAAACTCATGTAGAAAGATATACAGATAGTACATACGGGTCGGGCATCCAAGCAGGAGGGTCGGATCCGAAGTATTTGTAGCAACCATAGTACATCATCTGATGGAATGAAAAGGGTAAATCGGGATTAAGAAGGTGCTTGCTGATGTTAAGCCACGTTTGGGGAGTTGCAGAGCCCCAAGTTCGGATAATTCCGGCGAGTTGATTGTGGAGTTCATTAGCTATTTCTTGCTTTATACCCAACGCCGCAATATCAGCCACAGTGATACAGTCCAGAGGCTTGTAATTCTCGCTCCCCATTTCAGTAGGAAGAGCTTTGCATCCCTTCAAAGAGAGAGAACTTCGAGAAAGAACTTCATGATTAGATGGGAATACTTAGCACTAAGAATTTATTGTTTTGTTTGGATTTTTTTTATTTTGTATTAATTTAATTTTGAAAAAAATAGTATAATTAGTAGTAATTGAATATGTCAAATTGGGAAAATTATACTGTAGGACTTGATTTTTTGTTATTGTGTGAAGTCTTGAATTTTCTAACTTCTTCATTTGAGGTTTCACTTTTAATTTATTCTCAAATCTTAATATAGGCCTATTTTTATATTCTACTTTTCAATTTAAACCTTTAAATCACTTTGTATTTTAATATAATTATGCGACACAATATTTTTTTAAAATTTATTTTCTAAGTATTTTTATAATAAAAAACATTAAATATATTTAGTAAAGTTACCTAATAAGATAATTATTTCATAATTTATATTTATGCAAAAGTTTAATGAAATTTATTTTAAAAATTAAAAAATAAATTTTAACTTAAATTTAATTTAAATATGTGATAACATTAAAATTAATTATTTAAAAAATTAATTTTATTTTTTTAAATAAACTTATAGAAAATATTATTTGTGAATAAAATATATATATTTAAAAAAGTTAAGAATATATAAAATTAATACCTATGATAAAAGTATTAAATATTTGTAAAACTAGCTTGGTAAAAAAATTACTACAAATTAGATTTATGCAAAATTAATTTAGCTCAAATGAATTAATTTTCTTACTAAAGTGATTTTATTAAAAATATGTATAATTATTTAAAATATAAATTTCAAAATAATAGTATTTTGGTTTACATATTTATGTAAAAATACAAAGTGATTTGAAATCTTAAATTGAAAAGTAGAATGTAAAAGTAGGTCTTTAGTTGAATACAACCTAAAATTAAAATCCTCAAATAAAAAAATTAAAAATTCAAGCATTATTTTAACACAATAATATAAAATCAAATCCCTATTGAAAATAATAGAAAAGGGGAGCTTAATTTTTTAAATAATATTTTCTCTTTCCCGTGAGAATATGGTGTGGCGCTCTCCCTACATTTCACCTACCAAAACATAGACAAAATTCCCGCGGAAAACCCAAAAGGTTGAAAACCCAATCACCCGCCAAAATCCATCAAATCTATTAAGCTCTACGATTGTTTAGGTCCACTTCAGGGGAGGAGAGTAAAGCTGTCACCGAAGAAAAATGAAGATCCGAACTATTAAGCTCCGGGAAGCCCACAAAAGTAGCGACGGCGAGGGTAGCTCATTTTGCTCCATTTTGTGGGCATCCACTGGGGACCACATCGTTACGGCCTCGTCTGCCGACAATTCTATATGCATTCACGACGCACTTTTGCCAGGCAATGTGCCTAAGTCTCTGCGCAACCATCGGGAGGGTGTTACAGCTTTGGCCCTCTCCCCAAATTCCACATGTCTCGCTTCTGCCTCCCTTGACCATTCCGTCAAGCTTTATAAATTCCCTGGTAAATTCTTTTCAGATTCTTAATATCTCACAATTTCCGTGCAATTTCGTTGCGGAACTATATATTTTTTAATTGCCTCTTATTTGTAGTTGTACGACATCACTATGTGTTTTGATGTGTGATTAGGGTTATGTGAAATGTGGGTACAATATAGCGGAAAAGAAATGCTTGGATTTTGATAATCGTGAGTTCAAAAGTCAATAAATTAGAAAGGGCCTCTATACTGTGTTCTCAATACTGGGAAGATGCATGCATAAATTTTAGCTTGTTTTGGATCTCGCGTGGTGGGATTTTTAGAGAATATACGACATATTAGTACATTATCTTTGGAAACTACTGCAATTTGATTGGAAACCTGAGTATTATTCGCTGAAAGGTTTGCATATTGAGTTCCCCCTATACACAAATCAAAAGTTGTATTTTGGAGGCGGTAGTCGTAAACTGTGGATAATATATGAGGCTATTTTGTCTTAAGAAGAGCATATCTTATGTGTCTCGACTTTGATTCGCTTTACCGTTTTTCTTTTGATTTCTTAAGCCATTTTCTTGAGATTCAAAAACACAAAATATAACAAGTTCTAGTTTTAATCAGGATGGAGACAGAAAAATTACTTTCATTTTCAGATAATGTGAATTGTATTTGCTGCTCCCTTCTGCTTGAAATTGGCGAACCATTAGAGTCTCCGTGGCGGATGAAACCCTCTCCGCAAGCTACCTCCTACATGGCAGCTGTTAAATATAAGCCTGCCTGAGTCAGGCTAAAACTTTCCCAGCACCCATAAAATTTTGAACTTGATGTGTTCATTTATTTATTTTAGTCATGAATGGCAAGTTGCTCTCATATTGCTACGCTTGCATATATTTGGCGTTGATATGGCTGTTGGGTTTGTAATGGTAAAGCTGATTTCTTTAATGAATAAATAATAAATCAGGAGATTGTGCGTCTTGATCATTTGTGTCTTTAGATCATGTATTATACTTTAAAAAAGGCCCTGTAATCGCCTGTGTATACCACTATCAGTACTGATGTGCAATATAATTATCTTTTCACAGGTGGAGATTTCGAGACAAACATCACCAGGTTCACATTGCCGATTCGTGCTGTAGCTTTCAACAAGTCTGGAACCATTTTGGCTGCTGCGGGTGACGATGATGGCATCAAGCTTGTCAATACAATTGATGGAACTATTGCCCGAGTTCTTAAAGGACATAAAGGATCTGTAACTAGCCTGGCTTTCGATCCAAAGAATGAATACTTAGCTTCACTTGATTTGGTTGGGACTGTTATTATATGGGAGCTCCAATCTGGAAATTCACTTCATGTCCTCAAGCACATAGCACCTAACCATGGTTCGGATGATTCAGCAATGAACATACTTGCATGGAGTCCAGATGGAGAAATGTTAGCTGTGCCGGGTCTGAAAAATGATGTGGTAATGTATGATAGAGACACTGCAGAAAGACTGTTTTCTCTTAGAGGGGATCATTCAGAATCAGTTTGCTTCTTATCTTGGTCACCAAACGGGAAATATATGGCTACCTCTGGCATAGACAGGCAGATTCTTATTTGGGATATCAGCAAGAAGCAGGATATTGAAAGGCAGAAATTTAGTGAATGCATATCTTGTATGGCATGGAAGCCCCACGGAAATGCACTGGCAGTTATTGATGTTACAGGGAGGTATGGTCTGTGGGAATCAGCTGTACCATTGACTATGCATTCTCCAACTGAGGGCATTCCTGTTATGAAGAACAGCAATGGCTTCCACTTGTATGACGAGGAAGAACCTAGTGAATCTGGTGATTTGAGTAATCCTAATGAAGATAGCCTTGGTGAATTTGATCCACCTAGCAGGAAAAGATTACGTAAGCACTCTAATTATGATGATAACTGGGAAGAAGATTGTATTAACGAGTTGGAATCTATTCCAAAAGCTGACTCTCGTAAAAAGGCTTCTTATGGTCACAAAGATAACTCTTACGGGAAGAGTGAATCCAAAAGTATGATGATACCGATTGGACCGAAAATGCAAGAAGCTTTTCAACCCGGAGCTACACCTGCTCAACCTGGAAAGAGGCACTTTCTGTGCTACAATATGCTCGGAAGTATAACAACAATGGAGCTTGATGGTTATTCACATATAGAGGTACCCTCTTATTCATACCTCTGATAATTGGTTGTTATAAAGAAAATGAGTCATTTGCGACTTCCTAGAATAGGACTAGAAGAATTAAAATGAGAATTTGCTGACTATGCTAACTTACAAGTTGCCTCATCAAGCTGTGATAAGTGAAAACAAAAGGCTTTAGAATCTAGTTTAGTGGTGTGATTAATAAATATCTTAATGACGTTGTTCTATCATCTTACTTGAAAACCTGTGATCTTTTATCGTTACCACAACCTACATTAGGACACTTAGCCTCCACGACCCTAAGGGATTAGCCACTGAATTTATTCTCCGGAATTAGAAAGGATGAAGATAAATTGAATCTTCTTTTGCGCTATCAAGTGATGATGGACCATTATAAGCTGTTAAACTAGTTACATGATTTAAATGCAGATAGATTTCCACGATACCAGCAGTGGTCCACGTGTTCCTGCGATGACTGACTATTTTGGTTTCACTATGGCTTCTCTAAATGAGAATGGTAGTGTATTTGCTAATCCTTGCAAAGGCGAGAAGAATATGAGCACACTTATGTATCGTCCTTTTAGTAGCTGGGCAAATAACAGTGAGGTTAGCCATCTTTATTTATTTGTTTGTATGTTTAATGTGCTTGCTAGCATCATTGCGAATGGACAGGGTATAAGTTTTTCTGAGCCTAAGCTGAAAAGCTTAGCTTAAGCCTTTAGGTAGCTGATATTAATTTCCTTATGAAAATGTAGTGGTCTATGCGATTTGAAGGGGAAGAAGTTAGAGCTGTAGCACTTGGAAGTTCTTGGGTTGCTGCTATTACCAGCCTCAATTTTCTCCATATCTTTACTGGAGGTGGTTTGCAGGTTTGTATTTTTTTATCATTAAGGTCTGAAATCCAGTAATATTGAGCCTTAATTGTGATGGGCACTTGTTTATTATAACCACTAAAATTACATTATAGTCATTCTGAATTTTTCATGAAGAATCTAACATTTGGATTTCATCTAGACACATATTCTATCACTCGATGGTCCAGTGGTAACTGCGGCTGGCCATAAGGACGAACTGGCAGTTGTCACTCACATTTCCCCAACTCTGCCCACTGATGAACAGGTACTGTTCAAATATTATTTTGATGATTAAGTAAATGAAGTATTTTGTTAACACAATGCTTAAGACATTCGATAATCTCAAACTGGATGACACTGTATGTTGAAGTTGATTGTAGGACATATTGTTTCCTTCGTCAGAGTTTCTGATTTCTTTTTTTCTTCAGTTAAAATTTAGTGCATTTTATAATCTCAGCTGACAGTTTGATCAACTTTCCTGTAACATTACAAGTGTCATTACTTTGTGGATTGGTTGTCGGCTCTAAAATATTATGAAAAGCAGAACAGGTCGAGACGTAAGAGATTCTAGACTTGATAAACGATATTTCCCTCTTGCAGATGCTTGAATTTAGAGTGT